CCCACCCACCCCCGCCTCCCAGTCCTGGTGGGCACGCGAGAGCCCCGTGTAGCTCACATCTGAAATTCTAAAGGACCGCTGATTCCCAACCCACTAAGAGCTCGCCATGTCTCGTTAGGTCCTTTGTTGCAATCTAAAAGGATTTCTGACGGGTGCGCCTTTTGCAACCTATGCTCCGTTTTTGTGCGTCTGTTTAAGACGGGAGCATCAGTGAGTTCGTGGTGGTGGCATGGAATAAGATACGCATCCAGGGTTGAGATAAAGGTTCAAATCGGCACACCTTGAGGTGGGGCTCGTCGGTGATACCCGAACTGTCAGTGAGTGAGTGCAGATGAGTTTGTATCAGACAAGATCGCCTTCTGTTCTCTTGGTCGGAACCACGTTCCATGTTAAATACATCACATTGGCCTTATCTTTGTCAAGAAACTGAATATCAGAGTAGCTCAACTGACTTAGGATCATTAAGAACGGTTGTGGGGAAATCTCTATGGACATGAGAAGAGGTTCATCGACTGTTCCCAAATAAATACAGTATTATCAGGATGTAAGTTACTATGAAACACATGATTTCGTTTTATAGCAAATATGTATCTGTGGTTCCCTTCTCCAGGAACACCAACCTTACTAACCTTAACATACACACCTTGCTAAAATCTTACAGCATTCTTAGGATGTGGGGTTTGTGGTTATCCCTGTTGCATATAATGAAACATAATGATACTGAGGCCTAGAGAAGGTTAACTTCTTCCAAGCTATACAAGTAAAAGATGAGACCCCAGTTAAGAATGGTGACTTCATATCCTTTAAAGGGGCATATGGACAGACCTAGAAAAGCATACTATAATACGATTTTTAAAAATTATTCTCTTTCAGGATCTAAAACGATTCCTGTACAAAAAGTTGCCAAGGTAAGAAATTACTAATTTGTTGCTGATTAAATTCTGTGTAACATTAATTTTACAAGGAATTTTGTTTCACCTTTTTAGATTAGTATCTTATGTGTGTCATGGTAATGATGTCCCACATTTAAATTCATAATTAACCCCAAGTATCATAAGTAATGACTTGAATTTATAGATAGATGATATAAGGCTAGAGCTGTCTTAAGACTTTTTATGTTTAATATGAAATAGGTGCTGGAGCCCAGAACTTAGATTTCTGGACACTTTCAGGTTTTTTTTTTTTTTAGATTTTTTTATTTATTTTGTATAGTGTTCTGTCTGCATGTACACCTGCAGGCCAGACTCTAGAGGGCACCAGATCTCATTACAGATGGTTGTGAGCCACCTTGTGGTTGCTGGGAATTGAACTCAGGACCTTTGGAAGAGCAGTCAGTGCTCTTAACCTCTGAGCCATCTCTCCAGCTCCACTTTCAAGTTTTTTACAATGCACTATCATAATTGTGTTTGGATTATAGTTTAAGGCTGTTGGGTAAATTTAAGAAAACAAATTAAGAACTCGCCATTATTTTTAATGTCATTGCTGAGTGAGCATAATCCAAAAATATGAGGTTCAGACAAGGGTTCATACTTAAAACCTCAGCCCGTGCTTTGGATGCTGTTGTACAAAGGCTCAGGTGTTAATGTTACAAACGTCTTTTTTACATAGTTTACAGATCCAGAGGACTTTCTCACTTGAATTCATTAAAACTCACCTTAGTTAAATGGGGAAAAAAAGATGCCTCTGTTGACAGTGCCTCTTTTGTCTACATTCACAACTGTTCACAGATCTGTGATCATCCAGGATGAGACAAGAGGGAGGGGAAGAATGACTTGAGTGTTGTGTTTTCACGTTCCAGAACAAAGCAATCAGACTGGATTGAATAATCTTTGAGATAGTCTAGGGGAATATTCTAGGAAACCCTTTCCTATCTCCTCAGTCTAGAGTTATGAATAGTTGTTTGGATATTAGTTTATCTCTGTGGGTTGGGAAAAAATGAATGATTGTTTTGACTCTTGGTTGAATTGTTAGATGTGTTTGAATATTATGTTACACTTTTATCTGATTATAGATCAGTGGAGATAATGACAATGAGTTCTAGTTTTGACTTACTTGTATTTCTCTTATGGATTCATGAAGAAAACACTATTGGTGTGTTGAATGAAATAATGGGAAATCATTAAGCTAATTTTAATTCTCTTCCTTTGACTAAAATGGCAAATTATAGAGACTAGCTGCTGGTTCTTTTTTCACACGAATGGGCAGCATGACGGCAGTTGTAGCTTTGTATACTAACTCGTGACAACAGAAACAGTGGGATAGGCTAAAACCATGCTGGGGAACTTTAGTGACTAGTGGAGGAAATAATAATCGCTTTGTGACCTTATCTCTTTTCAAACATTAAAACTTCTCTCATTATTGCTTCCAAGTATATTCGGGAATGCAGACTGTCCTCCCTTGCTTTCCATGGCTGTGATAAAACACTGACTAGGAGAACACGGAAGAAAGGGCTTATCTCATCATGAAAGGGCAGGGCAGGAATGGAAGTAGGCGCCGTGGAGGAGTGCTGCTTATTGGCTTGTCTCCCGTGGCTTGCTCAAGCCTCTTTTTTATACACCTCAGAGCCACCTGCCCTGAGGTGGCATCACCCTCATCAGCCGTCAATCAAGAAAATGCCCTGCACTTACCTACAGGCCGGTCCAGTGGAGGAGGCATGCTCTCGATTGAGATCCCCCTTCCCAGAATCTGCCAACCTTGTGTCAACCTGACAGAAATCTAACCAGCACACAGTCAGGTCACTAACTAGTATTTGCTTAGTATACTAAAACATTAAGAACCTTGTGACCATGAGCTGGGCACGGTGGATAGGCCTGTAATCCCAGCATTTGGAAGGTGGCAGAAGTGGAGATTCTGTCTCAAAACAACAACAAGGATGGTTAGATGGCTCAGTAGGAAAGGCACTTGTTACAAAACCTGATGTGGGAGGTGTGACATGCATAGTTGAAGTACAGAGCTGACCCATACACACTGTCTTCTGACCACATGCTTGCTCACACACAGTAAATAAAAATGTTTGCAACAGCAGCTGCACAGCAAAGGAAACTGAGTTTGGGGGTTTGTTGTTGTTGCTTTTTATGGAGTCATTTCCGGCTGTGCTCCTCTCATTTGCCTTCAGATAAGGACCCAGGCGTCTTTTCTTCTCTGGGCCTCACCTCCCACCAGCTTTCCTTGTTCCATCCTTTGTATTCCCCATGCCAAGAAGTCCTGGAGCTTCCCTTTGATGTTTGTGTGTTTGTTGTGACGTTTTCATCCAGTTGCTTTCCTTATTCGTGTCAGGAAGCTTACCTCCACTGGGTACCCCTGGCTTCCTATCTGAGCAGCTATAATGGTGACTATAATTAGTTGAAAGTAAATGTTTGTTTTCTTTTTGAATTCTGACAATTTACCTTTTTTGGTAAGGCCCATACAACAGATATATGCAGTTTAAGAATATCATAAAGGCAGAGTGTGTCTCAGTGATAGAGTATTGGCCTCGCACTCCAAAGGCCCTGGGTTCAATCTGCAGCGCTTCCAAAGGGGCAGAAGAGTATTTGCCATGGCAAATGGCTTTGGTGGAGTTCATGCATTCTTGTTTTTGTTATCTTTAATTTCTATTCATGTGTGGGGGGGTCGTATGTGCACTGTGTGCATGGCCTGTGTCTGGAGGGCCAGGAGGATGTCAGGTCGCCTGGGACTGGAGTTGCAGATGGTTGTGAGAGGACATGTGGATACTGGGAATGGAACCTCAACAAAATCAGACCAGTTCCAGGTAGCAATCAATATATTTTTTAAAATTATTTATTTATTTATTTATTTATTTATTTATTTATTATGCATACAGGGTTCTTCTGGCATGCCAGAAGAGGGAATCAAATCTCATTATACATGGCTGTGAGCCACCATGTGGTTGCTGGGACTTGAACTCAGGACCTCTGGAAGAGCAGTCAGTGCTCTTAACCTCTGAGCCACCCCTCCAGCCCCCGAGCATCTATCTTTTTAAAAATGATTTGTTTATTTCTATTTTATGTACATTGGTGTCTTGCCTGCGTGTATGTCTGTGTGAGGGTGTTGGGTCCCCTGGAACAGGAGGTCCAGACAGTTGTTGTGAGCTGTGACGTGGGTGCTGGGAATTGAACCAGGTCCTATGGAAAAGTAGCCAGTGCTCTTTTAATTTGGTGATTTTTGAGTAGACAGTGTATTTATAAAATTCAAGATTCTGAAGCCTCCTCTGCCTGTCATTCAGTCACGTAGTTCTGCTGCTAGAAGAATCTGGTGACAGAGGTATCTGTGTACTTACAACAGACACAGATGTAAGTGTACACTTGTACATGCTTATGTGTGTGCAATACACAACACACATGAGGCTTGCTTACACATTTTGTTATATAATTTGTTGACTAAGTTATATTTTTCAAAACTGGAGTTTCTTTTTTACTTAAGAATATAACTTTGAGGGGCTGGAGAGATGGTTCAATAATTAAGAGCACTTGCTGCTCTTGCAAAAGACAGGGACAGGTTAAGTTCCCACCACCCTCATTTTTACATGGGCGTAACTCCAGTCACATGTCAGCTGTCACTCCAGTTCCAGGGACTTTGATGCTGTCTTCTGGTCTTGGAAGGCACCTTCATTTGTGTGGCACATATACACGTAGACACACAGATTTAAAAAGAATTAATGAGAATATATGGCTCAGTGGGTAAAGACTTAATATGCAAGTCTAATGACCCAAGTCTGGATCCTCAGAACTTGCCTCAAGTCAGTGCTCCTGTAGTGAAATGGGAAAATCCCTAGAAGTTCATGGCCAGCTAGCTGGCAGTGGCAGGCAAGAGGCCCAAGGCTGTCGTCTTATCTCTGCTCTCTGTCATGCGCTCTCTCTCCCTCTCTCTCTCTCTCTCTCTGTCTGTCTCTCTGTCTCTCTGTCTCTCTCTGTGTCTCTCTCTCTCTGTCTCTCTCTCTTGAGAATTACCATCATGAGTCTGAGGTACTTATTTGTAGAAATGAAAATGATTTTGTAATGCTGAACTTTGTTTTCTTGTAGCGTTGAAGGGCTCCATGCAATTGTTGTGTCAGATAGAGATGGGGTGCCTGTTATTAAAGGTAAAACTGAGTACTTTGTGCATATGGCGTGTTTATTTTTGACAAAAAAAGTGTCTAATATTTAAATAATTAAAACTATATAAAGCTTATTTGAACAAATTGGAAAGACTGTGTTAGTTTTTGAAGAAGTTATGTACTTTGTCTGTTGCAGACTGGGTGTGGAATCTGTAGTGGGCTCCATGTCAGCTGGATCTTGTTCACATCTGGAATCTCTGCATGCATTTACCATAGGCCCCGGTTTTTCACTGAAGATGCTTATGATATAATATAAGCTATTAAATATATCTTCAGTATTGAAAGTGAGAGTGCAAGGCAGGCTAGCAGCCAATCCCCGAACCACATCTCTAGTTCAGATGGATGGTTTTTAAATCTTCTATGGGTTTTTGCTTCTTCACTAGAAACATATTTTTTGAAACTTTAATGTCATAATTACTTTAGTTGATCTGAACTTAGGAGTTTTAGAAATGCATCTTTACTGAATCTTGAGAATGTCATGCACATGTACCATGTGTTTCGACTATATTCACTACCGCCCCCTAACCCACCCGACATGGTTTTGGCTGATTCTCGGCTTTCATTTTTTTAACATGCGTTTGCTGTAACAGAGTTAGTGTGAACTCAGATGGTTGACCGTTTGTATCTTCTGGCATGATCCAAGTGGATGTTGCTAGTTTTACTTAGCAAAGATTAAACAATATCATGCATTTTTTTTTTTTTTTTACAATTTCATTTCTACATCAATGCAAACATATCAGGTAGTTTTTAGACATTAGGATTGAAACCTTCCTTAGAGGTCACCTGGGTTAGTCCTTCCATTTTGTACATTAACACAATCAACTTCGGAGAGGATCCTGCCTGTCCACAGCTGTGGACTGAGTTGGTGACAAGACATGAGAATCCATTATCATGTGTCTCCTACCACACAGCGTGGGTGGCCATGGGCAGGCCACCTGTCTTTTCTCACCTCCACATAGAAGGCTTGGATGATTCTCCAGCCCTAATGTTCTTTCTCAGAATTTCTGGGAAAAGCTCCATACTTAACTGATGCAACCTTGAATGACTGACAGGAAGATGAAGCAGGCAGCCGACCATGGGGCTGTAAGCTTGTATGAGAGACACTGATTCTGGGGGTTTTATGAGAGCAAATGATTTTGAAGCTTTTTCCATTTTATTCTAGTGTGTTATTAGATGACCAGAATATTCACTTTATTACATGTAAGTCAGCGTATCTTCCCTGAGTTAGGAATACTGAATGAACTTCTGATTAAGTAATTTTTCCCACCTGGATTGATGAGACCCAGTTAGTAGTAGTAGGGTTTTCAACACTGTAAATGTACCTTTGTGCCTAGGTTTTTATTGCTTTTAGAAAGTTGCTGTTAAACCCTTTCCTCCTACTCTGTATAATTTTATTTAATTTTCTTTCCCCAGTGGCCAACGACAGTGCTCCAGAGCATGCCCTGAGGCCTGGCTTCTTATCCACCTTTGCCCTCGCAACAGACCAAGGCAGCAAACTCGGACTTTCAAAAAATAAAAGTATCATCTGTTACTATAATACCTACCAGGTTGGTATATTCAATACATAGCTACCAAATGCTTCACTGGTTTCACCTAGCATTTTTATATCTTTTTTTTTTTTTTAAGATTTTATTTATTTATTTATCATGTATACAACATTCTGCTTCCATGTATATCTGCACACCAGAAGAGGGCACCAGATCTCATTATGGATGGTTGTGAGCCACCATGTGGTTGCTAGGAATTGAACTCAGGACCACTAGAAGAGCAGTCAGTGCTCTTAACCTCTGAGCCATCTCTCCAGCCCCCTTTTATATCTTTTTTATAAACTGGTTTTCATATAAGTCTAAATTTTAGCATGTGGAGGATAGAATTTAAGAAAAATTAGTCTTCAAAATACTTATGTTAAAACTAGTCTTTTTTGATATTTTTTTGTCAGGAAATAATTATTATGGAAAAATACTAAAAACTTTAAAAATAAAGAGCTTGTTATTCTATGAAATATGCTGCGTTAGGTCACTGTTAACTCTAGTAGATGTGTACTTTGAGGGGTGCTGTGAACTCCAGTAGATGGTGCCATTAGCTTACACAGCTGTGATTCAACACAGTTCCTATGTTGTGATGGTAAAAGACCTGCCTTGAAAAGTCAGTGATCAGCTGCTTAAATGTGTTGTTTCAGCTGAATCATAACTGTGTTTTCACCATACAACACACTATTTAGATCTCATTTTCTTTTTAGGTGGTTCAATTCAATCGTTTACCTCTGGTCGTGAGTTTCATAGCCAGCAGTAATGCCAACACAGGTATGTTAGAAGTCTTGCAAATGCGTATTTTACTTCTCTATAGTACTATGCTTGTAGCCAGGCATGGTGGCATGCACAGCATGATCGATTAGGAATGACAGACATGGAGTGAGAAAATCTGCATTTGTGGCTCAGCCCCACTTTCTCTTCAACCTGATTCCTATTTTCCATGTCCGAATAACAGGGACTTCTCCGTCTTACAGGGTCATTTTCATATGCAAATGAGATTGGATTTTTTTGCAATAGAAGCTAGTTCAGTGTTGCATTTTGTGTGCTATTTATACTCACATTAAAACAGCCTACAGAAATGAAGGGTTAAAGAATATAAACTAAACAGAACACATATTAAATGCTAAAAATGACTTAATTCTATAGACTCACTAGTTAAATTACAATTTTAAGATTTTTGAATACTTGTAAAAAAGTTGAGTTTGACTGAGATTTTAAAGATAGTTTCTTCTTTTCTGTTGCTGTGGTGAAATGCTCTGACAACAGCAACAGGAGGAGAAAGGGTTGATTTTAGCCAGCGTTCATAAGAAAAATTTTCTTTTCCTTTTTTGGGGGTGGGGAGTGGTGTTTCGAGACAGGGTTTCTCTTTGACTTTGGAGGCTGTCCTGGAATTAGGGCTTGTGGACCAGGCTGGTCTTGAACTCACAGAGATCTGCCTGCTTCTGCCTCCCAAGTGCTGGGATTACAGGAGTGTGCCACTACTTCCCGGCTGAAAACTTTTCTAACATTCTGATTTTTTAAATCTCTTTTAGGACTAATTGTCAGCCTAGAAAAGGAACTGGCTCCGTTATTTGAAGAACTGATAAAAGTTGTGGAAGTGTCTTAATCTAAAAGTGGTTTTGATGTATACCTTGCCTTCATTGCAACAACACTGTACCAGTCCAGCAATCTTTAGACCACAGTAATACTTTATCTATGTATTCAGAGGGCCGCTTTTCCACCTTACACTAAAGAAGAGCCTATAGCTATAATTTATAGACAGATCAATTGTTGTATTTATGTGTATAAAGTCTTTTCTTACTTAGTGAGATCTGGAAACGCCACAAAAATGGTTCATTCTGGTGCAGCTCCCATGGAGTTAGTGTGGATGCCTGATAATGGGTGGTATTCTACCCAGTGCATCAGGATCAGATTGATGCTCTGGAGCCAGCAAGCATGCCAGCTGCACAGTGCTCCCGCTCCACAAGCCAGAGACTTCCTGAGAATAATAATGAGGACATATTTTTCATAAGAGTTTATTTTATTTCTTTGCATTGGGTGTGAGGAAGATAAATGGCTTAGTACAAATAATAAATACGTACAATCACTAACTTCTGTCTGTATATGATCTCAGCGAAGATGAGTATTACCAGTGTATTTGATCTTTGAGGGTGCTGCTCTTCAGTGAGAACGAAAATCACTGCTCTTGGTTTCTCTTCTACTTTCTGTAACAGTGCTTCCATGATTGTGCTCTCTCTACATTGGAAATGCCGTGTTACTGAATTCTGTTTCCAGTATCAGTATGTATATAAAATGACAGTATAGCCGTTTTTCATACACAAATATAAATAAAATAGTATTTTTAAAAATACAAAATGAGCTTTGTACAGGCCTCTTTTTTCAGACTTTCAAAACTGCAATGGGTGAAATTAATTCTGTCTTCAGCCACATGGATAGGCAGGGTTTGTATTGGGAGATTGTTTTACCTAACTGTCAAGAAAACCTCATCCATGAGCCTGACTGGATCACCAGGAGCTTATATCTGCTTCATACACCTAAGAGGTTCAGGAGGGGATCAACCATTCAGGTTCTGGCTCTCCTCGTCATCGTCTGTCATGATTCATTTCACACGCATTGCTTGTGTGCCAGTCTCCGGCACTCCCACGGCACAGCTGTAGAGTCCATGTTGGCTTGGAGTGTGTGCTCAGGGATGGCTCTCCACATGGAGTAAGTGCTGGCTGGCGATGTCCTTGGGTTATTACCTATGGACGCTGCTGTTGGGTCACTATCTCAGGGGATATATGGGATACGTTATTCATCTGCTGAATCTCATCTTTAAAATGAGATTTGTAATTTCACTTATACAATAGATAATATATATAATTTTAAATTATTATGTGTGTTTGTGTGTGTGTGGTGAGGGGTATGTGTATGGGTGCCTGTAGAGGCCAGAAGAGGCACTGGAGTTGTGAGCTGTCTGATGTGGGTGCTAGGACTCTTTCTGGTCCTTTCTCCAGTCCCCTTAAATCATTTTTTTTTAATGACTTTTATAGAATCCCTGTCTATGATAGGGCAGAAATGTTTTAAAAAGTAAAACTGGTCCTCCAGCACAGGTGGCTAAGCAACTCTACTTGAAGTCCTGGCTACACAGCTTGAAGCCATGGCTCAAATCTGGCCTTCCACTGTATGGTTTCCTTGGTGAGGAAGAGATTAGTGACGGTCTGAAGTGTAGAAGGGGGAAGTAGGATCTTAGGTCCTCTACCACAGTCTTCATGCTGTCTGTGCCGAGCAGGCTCACATCATCAGAATGGGGGAGGGGTGGAGGCTAACACACTGCTGCATGCCACCTGCCTAGGAAAGCAGACATAGGGGCACCTCACAGTGTTCTGATGCCCAGAGGCTGGGAAGCAGGGTCAGCTTCTCAAACTGCACTACTCTTCCCTCACCCAAGGGAAGATTTTACCATCCTAGCAGGAATGTGTGGAGCAAGATTTTCCCAGGAATTTTGACAGACTGCACTACTCTTCCCTCACCCAAGGGAAGATTTTACCATCCTAGCAGGTAAAATGTGTGGAGCAAGATTTTCCCAGGAATTTTGACAATTATTGCTAACGTTTGGCTGTGTCTTTCTTAGGGGAACTTGGACACACGCCTCACTCACTTTCCTCCCACATCCCCCTGCTCTGGTCTGCTGTCTGCACATGGCATCCTCCCTTCTGCCATTTCGGATTTAGGGAACTAGCCAAGAGCTCCCCACTATAGGGAGTGTGTGTGTGTGTGTGTGTGTGTGTGTGTGTGTGTGTGTATTGCCCTTTCCATATTCAGCTAAATCCCTGGAGGAATGTGGCTATTTCCTGAGCTTCTAGTCTTCTGTGAAGAACCATTGCTATCTATGGTATTAATCAGTTATATTTAAGTTTTAAAAGTCTACAGGAATCTTTCTGGAGAAAACATTCCCACACTAATGAGAGTGGAAAAGAGGAGACATCCAGGGTGGACCAAGGCCAGGACAGCTCCTGAACGGCTTCCATCCTGGGTCCAGGTTATAGTCTCATCTTATACTCTAACACCACAAGGTAGGTGGGCAAGCAAGCACAAGTTTATAGAAGCTTCCGGTGACAGTCAGCAGGTTGTTGAGGGCAACCACCCATTGATTCAGCTGTTTCCCCAGGTCACTCTGTTCCAGGTAGCAAGTGAAGTCATGCTTGGCAAGAAGGCCGTGCAAACTGCTTTAAATAATCACTAATGTATCAGTATCTATTAATTGGTCTTTTCTACCCTATTCTACTTCAAAACAATGAAAATGTTATAGCATCAAAATTGGACATATACAACAAAATCATGCACTTTTTTATTTAATAAACAGAACCAAAGGATATAAATAAACATATTTTACAGAAGGCAAAAAGAATATTTAACACATGAAGAAAGGCTGTTTCTAAGGAAACAAAGCCATACAACTCAAAGGGGGGCATTGTTACTCCTTATTTTGCAAACTTGACAAATACGTTTTATGTTGACCTCAGTTTATTCCATATAAAATAAACATAATAAATTGAATGACCCCCTTTTGGTCAGACAGGTAAGTATTCTACCCAGTGATCCACAACCCAACTCCAAAAACCCTCCTGGAAAAACCATTTCTGAGTCTTAGCTGTTTAAACAACAGGGAAAAATATTTAACAAGGCACTATGAATGAATCTCAATGCCAACTTGAGAAATACCAGGAAACACCTTGTGGGCACTGTGGTCCATTCATTTCATCCAAATGGATCAGAATTTGAACAGACTACTAAGACATGGCAGAATGTGGAAGATGGGCCCTGGCTGGAAGTACGCCGCTCAGAACGGTTCCCGGGGTCTCTGTCTTGCCTGCTCTCTTTCCTGTTACTGCCTTGCTATGCTTCCTGCCTGCTATGATATGAGCAGCTATCCCACACCCGAACTGTGGTAAGCTGAAACCTCTAGAACCATGAAGTAAAGTCAATTATTCCTGTAAGCTGTTCACACATGATCTTTGTCACATTGACGAAGGTGCTTGAGCACTGCAAGCACAGAGGTCCATCAGCTCTGTATCACTTGCTGGCTTGTCCCCCACGCCCTTCTAACTTCTGTTGTTAAAAGCCACATCAACCATGATAATAGGAGTTAAAATCTACCCATGACCCCCGAATACCAGTACTTCCTTCCAATTCAATTCTCATTCTCTAGTTTGCAACAGCCACTTCACAGATAATCTCAGGGTGCTTCCCAGGGCTGCTCTCTTACAGATCCTGGAAAGATACAGAGGCAGCCTTTATGGAAAAGTCTCGATCAATTTGAAGAAATGGCTGCTAAAGATATCTTAGTGCTTACAAGTGTATTACATTTGTAATGATAACCAGTGAACTAAAAGTCACCCACAGCTTATCACCCTCCCTCAAAGTGCGTTTTCTTGCTGTTTAAAACATTCTCACCGCTTATGACACATAATTTACTCTTTCCTATCTAGTTCTCACAGTTTAGCATTAGCAGTAAAGGATCCAATGGATTTCTAAGCTTTTAAAATTGATTAGTGTGTGTGTGTGTGTGTGTGTGTGTGTGTGTGTGTGTGTGTGTGTGTGTGTGTGATGCTGACATACATGTTGAGGTCAGAGAAGAACTTTGAGAAGCTGGTTCTCTCCTTCCACCTTTTGTGTGAGTTTTGGGGAATCCCACTCAGGTTGTCAACTGTGGCATGGCAAATGCTAAGATGGCTTAATGAACCACCTCACCAGCCTGATTTCTAAACCTTTTCAAAGGAAAAATAAAATAAATATGATGAACTTTTTTGCATTTTAATTTTGGAAACTTTTTTGTTGTTGTTGCTGTTGTTTGGTTTTTTTGAGACAGGGTTTCTCAGTAGCTATGGAGCCTGTCCTCGAACTCACTCGATAAACTAGGTTGGCCTCCAACTCAGAGATCCTCCTGTCTCTGCTTCCCCAGTGCTGGGATTAAAGGCGTGGGTCACGACCACTGGGCTGGAAACTCTTTTAAATTATTATTATTTTTGCATTATGTGCATATGTGCGAGTGAGCGTGTGTGCCTAAGTGCAGGTGCGCCCAAGGAGGTCAGCGGCGTGTGAGGCCTCTGAAACTGGAGTTAGAGGTGTTTGTGAGCCACCTGGTGCTGGTCCTGGAAATTGAACTCAGGTTCTCTGCAAAGAGCGATGCACTTTTCATGGCCGAGCCACCTCTCCAGCCCTATGTGAGGTTTTGTATATAAACAAAACAGGCAGCCCCTCCTTTGAAAGTCTTTGGTGTTTATTATGTTAATTTGCTTCCTAGAGGAGCAGCCTGAGCCCCGACATACTGCTGTTTCCTTACACATCTGAAGCTTAGTTGTGCTGGCCGGTGATTTGGGGCAGGACGCCAGGCAACCAAAGTCAACGAGCGTAAGCCACTGTGAGCACCAACAAGCTCTTCTTGCACTGTGTTCTTTCTGAGAGGGACTCCACCTGGAAGTGGGAGTTAGGCAGTTCCCATCAACGGGTGCTGCTTCCCTGTTCTTGAGCAGATGGCAGGTCCCACCAGCTGTTTTCCATGAATCAGCAAACAAAGTAGAGCTCCCGACCACAGTCTACTTTGTGTTTGTTTTCAGAGGAAATCCCTTAATGACCTTTCCTCTGAAGCTTGCCACAGATCAGAGCACCTGGAACATTCCACCTTGCCCCTGAGCCAAGAAAGTTCTATTTGAAGATGAACGACTGCGGTCGGACAGTGTCCTCTCCTTGGTCCAGCTGTTTTCTTATTTTTGACTGTAACAAAGCATAGGTATAACTGCTATTAAAACATAGGTACGTCTACTACTCAGTCTCTTGAGATACTGACTCTGAGATAGCAAGGAAGACATGTTGAGCAGTAAAGCGCCAGTGCAGCTATAAATTACCAACACCGTTACCAAGTTTTAATGTTTGTTTTCTATTTTCCCTCCAGACACGGTAGAGTGGCTGTTACAATGTGTACATTTTGGGAATGGATCTACTATTTCTGGGAAAGCATGACCCAACCCTGTCCAATCAAAAGGGAGATTCAGGCCTGTAGTTGTGGACTTAAGAAGGTGCTAGTAATATACTGTAAAGTTGGGGGTCAACCGGTGAAGACCACCAGAGAAGGGTTGTGTTCTTAGAGATCCAGTTGCCCAGGGAGAAGTCTGAAAGTCGACATGTGCACCACTTTTCAATTTAAATTTTCTGTAATAATTGGGTGTCATTCGGACAATAACAAAACACACTGAATTAGTCTCCTCTTTTTCTGCTCTTTCTGCTCTCTTTCTGGCTCTTCTCTCTATGCTCTCCTCTCTTTCTGCACCTGTCTCCCTCTTCTCTTCTTCCTCTCTCTCTCTGTGTCTCTTTAGCTCTTTTCTATTTCCTTCCTCTCCCTCCCCTTTCAAAAAAAAAAAAGGAAGGAAGGAAGAAAAAGAAAAGAAAATACATTTGAATTAGAAATGGAGTCATGCCGGGTGGTGTAAGCCTTTAATCCCAGCAGGTGGATCTCTGTGAGTTCCAGAGAGTTCCAGGACAGGCTTCAAAGCTACACAGAGAAACCCTGTCTCGGAAAAAAATAAAATAAAATAAAAAAAGAAAAGAAATGGAGTCACTTCAGCCCAGGTTGGCCATGACAAAGCTTTTCCCCACTCAGAGCAGTCTCAAAATGAGCACTGTATTAACTTGAATTTCAAACCAAAAAGACACTCATGCTCAGCAAATGTTCACCGCCCCCACTCTTTTGCCAGGGAGGAGGGCTGTTCCTACCACTGAGCTATAAGCCTGATCTTAAGGATATCCATTTTCAGACAATGGTATAGATACAATAATTACCACACACACACACACACACACACACACACACACACACACACACACACACACACACACACCCCTAGGGGGGAAAAGGCGTTTTGCCTTTGGATACACCAAGGGTTTCAAGGAAGTACATAAAGGCCTGTTTCCCAAGGTGGTGGTACTGGTAGGAGGTTCTCATGTCACTGGTACACTGCTGTTGGAAGGGAGTACTGCCCCGAGAGGGTTCTAGAAGTCTGAGCTTGACCCACACTCCCTCAATGCCACTTGATCTCTGACTTCCTGTTTGGAAGTGTGAGGTTTCCCTCCTCCACATATCCCTGTCTTTATGTTTCACCAAGGGGTCCTCCTCAGAAGCTGAGCTGACGTGAGTGCTATGCCCTTGAACCTCAAACACCATGAACCTTTTACTTCCTAAGTAGCCTCGTGGATTTCATGAGAGAAACAAAAACCAGACTAATATATTACTGCTTACACTGGTGTAGGGGATGCTGTAGCCACGCCTGCTTAGGGGCTGGCTACAGGTGTGCCTGACCATGCCTGGGAGTGAGGGACATTCAGGTGGTAGGCTTCTGCTTTTGGTTTCACTTTCGGCTTGCGGTATGGACTGCTGCCACGCAGGCTGGCTAGGTCGCTCTGTAATACCTGGCTCCGTATTGGTAATATGCCACACTACACTGGGAACCAAGTCCCCCCCCCCCAAGCTCCCTCCTGGACAATTTAAAGGCTTTCCAAGTTGAAGCATATGTCAATATCCCTCTCTGAGACCTCTCTTCAAGACAAAATAGGGCTGACCAACAGTTTATAGGAAGGCTGGCAGCAGCTGCAGCCAAGGCTAGGCTGAGACCCAAGCACAAGTCCACCCCTCCTCCTTATAACCTCTCTTTCTTTTTATACCCCTTAAGCATCCATGGGTTATCCCACAAAGTTGCAAACAGACTTTCCTTTGATCCTAGGGCCTGCTTTGACAACTGGAGTCTACTTGAAGTCATCAACATGTTCACTCTCATGAATAGACATCCGGTGACTTTTATAACTCACCAAAGTCATCAACATGTTCTCTATCAAGACTAGACATCCGGTGACTTTTATAACTCACCAACTTCCATCGAAGTATTTTGATCCATTCATCAGCCTCAACTCCTGTCTTTGCACAGAGGTAAAATGTCCTGAATGGAAACACTAAGCTGACAAAACAAAAGAAAGAATGTGTGACAATCAGTATGACTAGTTGTATATATCCTGGTTTAAATAGTATGAGTGTCTTCCAGGGGAAAAAGAATTGAGGGGTCCTATAATTATCATGGTGACTTTGACTTTGAAGAATTGGTGTGTACAGAGCAGCTCCTGCCAGCAATGGCAGAAATGCCTAGGATGGTTTAAGTTTGTATTATTACAGGAGAGATTTATATTCTCCCAGGAGACTTCAAAGAAGAAGTATATGTCTAGGGCACACACACACACACACACACACACACACACACACACACACACACCTTTTTGTTGTGGAATATACTCAGATGAGCCCCGCAGTGGTCCAGAGCCTGTCTGTGGGTTAAAGGACAAGCCAGGCAGATAAGGGTTTCCTGAAAGGACTCAGTTGCACTGGCTACTTTAAGGAGGGTAACACTTCCACCAGGAGAGATACATACTAGGAAAAGGAGACCAAAAAGCCTCAGTTTGCTATTTCACCCATTTGTTTCCATGAGTTAATCTCTGCCAAAAAGAAATGGAACCCTCCTTTTACCACAAAAGATTAGGTAGGTGTATGGTAAGTCTTCATTTTGCTGCCTTTGATTATTTAGTCAAAATTATTTAAGTGATAAAGTCAATCCTAACATATCTTGGTCATTCTTTCTATCCTTACAATCAAGACACAAATACTATTTTTTTCTATCTGTATTTTTTTTTTCATGTATCCTAGGCTGGCCTTGAACTTGCTACAGAGAGGAGGATGACCTTGAATTTCTGATCCTCCTTGCGCTGAAATTCAGAATTCTGTCACCTTAATGCCCAAACGGCATATCTTGCAGCTATCAGGCCTGTGGATGTGTGGGTGGGTAAGTAGGCAGGGGTGGGGAGGGAGGGATGCTCACATTGTACATGCTGTACACAGTGCTGAATGGAAATTGGTTTCTGGGCTTGTCATTGATGCTCCCTGGCGGAGACATTATGAGTTGCTCTATAAATTCACACAAATTTCCCTTTCTTCTTGCAATCAGAAGCCCAAGCAATAAATTCTAATTAGCTTAAGACAGTTAAGACAATGACTATGATGACATTATGGTCATTGACATTGCAGCCAGTGAATCAGTCAGAAGCTTCACAAGGCAAGGTTTCCAGGGAAACATGGGCTTTCCTGATACACAGGCACGGCTGATAATGTTTTTCTTCATGGCTGTTCAAACATGAGGGCTGAAGGTAGCCACTTGGATCTGAAGGATCCAGCCTGAGGACAGTCAAGAGAATGGTGGAGTCCATGGGTAGGACCGTTTCATACCTGCCTCTCAAATTCTTGTGACTCAAGAAAAGCAAACTTTTGCTAGACCACATGGCAGGCGGCTGGTTGACACTGTAAACTGCTCACTTTCCCGGGTGTAATAATGAAATTAAGTTCTATATATACTATCTTCAATTTCAGGAGGTACATCATCAAGATGCCATATCTTTACAACCTTTAACTGAGTTAGGAAAAGAAGTGATAAAGGCAAATGGTGATAAAGAAAATCCAGCAAGTCCTTAATACGCTAAGGTTAAACAGAGTGTGGTTTACGTCCTCCAGGCTTGCTGTGTCTGAGTTGGTGGAGAAGAAGACATGCCTTCATTTACTATGAAATGTTTGTATCAGACATGTTTCACAGTATTCTGATTATATCAGATCAAAACGCTCCATCAGCCAGACACCACCCTAACAATACAGGCCACCTATCTCCAAAGCTGGTGAAATGATTATTACAATTGAGAGGAAAATCTCAAGGGAGTAAAGTTGTGTGAAAATGTGAACAGGCTGACATGTCCTAACAGTGTAGGGCACAGCCTGACCCTGGCCAACCTGCCTTTGTTGAAGCCACTTTAGATAAGGCACTGTGTCCTCTGCAACTGAAGGCACTGACATGCAGCGCCCTTGTGTGAGGTCCATGTCTCTCCATCCAGACATGTAGACATTAAGATAGGTGGCTTCTTACTCCTGGCTGAAAAGACTTTTAGAAACATTTCCTTTCTGGGCATAACTTACCAGAAACAGTTCACTCTTTCCTGTGAGTAATCAAACTGGACAGCAGAGCACTCTGTCAGGTCCAGAATGCGAATTGGTTCCGGTGACTGGGGGGAAAAAAAAAACAAAAAACAACTGTGTCATAAGAATAAACACACACACACACACACACACACACACACACACACACATGTGTGTGTGTGTGTGTGTCCATCTTTCACCCCTCAAGGAGGTTTCTGATGCATGCAACTGTTGTCAATTTCCTTTCACTAAGATCAAGGAGGCTGGGAAACCATGACGAAGGAAAGCACACACTGGGGTCTGAGATCTAGCCTTTCACAGACTAAGCAATGGGAAGACATTGCTGGGCCACACAGATGGCTCAGTGGTTAGGCTCTCGCAGAGGATCTGTGTTCAATTCTCAGCATCCCCGCCACGCAGCTCAAAACTGCCTGTAACTCCAGCACCAAAGGGGTCCATGCCTATGGCATGTACACACACCCAAAAGACAGACACATACTCATACACCTAACTTAAGATAATATATCTTTAAAAAGATGTTGCTTTTGTCGATTTACATCAGACAGAGACAGATTTTTAACACATGGAAAGGAGTTGTATTTTCTCCCATCTTTTTTATAAACTTCTACTTTTGCAGAAAATTTGAATACACAAAAGAAGAGAAGGGGAATCATTTTAAGTTGGCATGATAAAATGGACCTGAGCAATGGATAGGCTTTTAATAAAAGGGGAAATTGCTTCATAGGGATGGTAAATAAAGTATGGCAAGAGAAGAACTTCACTGTCCAGAACAGAGGGAGCCATGTGCTCCAGAGAGCAACAGCTGTGCTGACCAAGAGCAGCTTCTGGAGGCAAACCATTTTTCACAGAGTTGGAGTAGGTCAGGAATCAAGAATCCCGACCTTGGGCTGTACGAGATGGCTCCGTGGGTAAAGATGCTTGTGGTCAAATCAAATCTGATGATTCCTGGGAACCACATTTTGGAAAAAGAGAAACAACTCCACAGCTTGTCCAAACAAAGGCTGTAGGAAGTGTGCCCCACCCCCATTATAAACAAATTCAAATTGAAAAGAGCTCGGGTCTCTAGATTCTTGTTTCAGAGGATGTGGGGACCTTACAAAGCTGATGTCTAAGACAGAGAGGGATGCTAATGTCTTTCTCACCATCTGGTCTTTGAAATATTTCAGTTCGTTCCTTTGCAAAGTGAACCATCTTGTTTTCCAGGTCTGAGGGGAAAGAATTTTAAGTTAGAGGACAGAATGTAATATCTAAACTCGATAGTTGGTTTTCATTTTAAAAGTATATAAAAGATTAGATAAAGTAAGCCTAAAATATTCTTATGTATCACTTTTGAGAAAAGTTTCAAAATATCTATTAAGAAAATCAGATGTAGCCGGGCGTTGGTGGCACACGCCTTTAATCCCAGCACTTGGGAGACAGAGGCAGGCAGATCTCTGTGAGTTCGAGACCAGCCTGGTCTACAAGAGCTAGTTCCAGGATAGCCTCCAAAGCCACAGAGAAACCCTGCCGCGAAAAAAAAAAAACCAAAAAAAAAAAAAAAAAAAAAGAAAGAAAATAAGATGTTTCTGTGTCCTAAGATCACAATAGAAATACCACTAGCTTACTTAAACGAATAGATGGAGATGCAGCTGTTGTAAACATTCAAGGTGATTTGCAACAAGCCACTCAAGTTTCTATTTTATTAACACCATAATAAAAAGAGATCTCAGTTTTGAGAACCTAATGTGAGCTATATCCCCACACCACAAATTTACATATATATTCATGTATACTCTTGAAATTTTATTTATATATAATGTATATGATAACTAAGTAATGCCACCTCTCATTATATTATTACTATTATTTCACAAATAAGCCAGTTGAGATGCAGGAACCTTTAGCCACATGGTACTCTAAATCTTCCCTGAAGAGCAAAAACTGTTGCTATTCCTTCTTCTATCCTAACAAAGCCCTGACCTGTCTCAGCTGGCAATGCACCTACTTAAAAGGGACACTAGAAGATTCAGGAATAAACATTCAGGTTAGGCATGGTTGCTCATGCCTATAATCCTAACACTGAGGGCACTGAGAAGATTGTCCATCCTAGGCTGTACATCTGAAGTCGTCCGGGGCTGTGAGTGGGACCCTATCTGAAAACGAAGCAAACATCAATGAATAGGCTACAAATGGGGATACCTCCCGTCCTTAGGGAGTATGCAGCCCAACGGGGGCATGGATAACTGCATGATGAGAATAGAGTCAGGCAGCTTGTTCACAGTGGAAAGAAGAGGTAAGGACTCTGACCCCTAAAACAGACAAGCGCCGAGAGTGGAGCCAATATATTGGATGATGATGACCATGAACATGGGAACATAACAGAACTTTAAAGGTACAATTGCAGACAGGGAGCAGTCAGGTGCCCTGGACTTGTAAAGACTGGAACTATGTTTATTTTGGCATGTTAGAATGTATTTTTGTTTTTAAGCTCCAGTAATGCATTTCGTCTACCTTTCAGTAAACATTGTATAAAAGTTTGACTTTTTTATTAAAAAAAATAGAGCACAAATGTTCAAGAGTTGATTTACCTCTGTTCTTAACCCTCCAACTGAACATGCTAAACAGGGCTTCCTTTTTAATACGAACTACAGGTTACTCTTACACAGGGCTCCGTCAGAGAACAGTCAAGACATTTTTCAGGGAAATACAAGTGGCTTAAAATAAGCTTATGATTTTCCTTTATCTGCCAATTTTAAGAGTTGAGTCTATGGTCTGGTGTCTTTCCTGTGGTGGCATGAGCAAACCACACTCCCTTACCTTTACCAGGCCGCCCTGCTTGGTGAGGTAGCCTTCTTTGGTGCCAAGCTGCAAAAGAAAAAGGCCAGAATGAAGCTCAGAAGTGTCACAGATGGCCCTGAGTTCCTGTCCTATTTTATCTTGCTAGGGATGTACTAGGGATGAACCCTTACTCCAGGCAAGCACTGAACACCAAGCTACAGGCTAGCCCCCTGTCCTGTTCTATGAAGAACATGTTTGCCAATGATCTTTAATTCTTCACCTAGCTCTCAAAACTCTCCCAGGTGCTCTGGGAGCACTTTGCAGACTGGGTCACCTGACATATTCCATATCAACAGGTATTGCTGGGAAGGTCTCTATTAACTAGAGCTGGCGATTTGAAAACAACTAACCACAGGTGGTGTTTGTTAGAACAGCAGCAGCTTGTGTTGCCATCGGAATCCTAGTTTAAAAGGGTATTAATGGATGTTGGGCGCTATGATTGGCCATCAGCCTCTGTAGCCATCAGTTCTTCTCTCTTGGGTCCACAAACCATAAATTGAAACATTTGTTTAAACCTTTGAGTCTATACCGAACATGAATAGATCCTTTTTCTTATCATCCCCTAGGCAAACAGTCTAATAACCATTTACGTGGCATTTATATTACAATGGTGTGATAAGAAATCCGATTTGAAGTCCACGGGAGGATGTGGATAGTTTATGCAAATATTGTGCCATTTATATTAGGGTCTTGGACATCTAAGGACACTGGTACCCAAATGGGGGTCTTGGAAATACTGGCATACAGAGAGATTACTACATTTGGGGCAGCATATTAAGAAAAGTAAAAGAATTTCTTTATTTTAGGGCTTTGTTTTTAAAGTTTTAGGAGAGAACTAAGAAACAGCATTATCAATATTTGCTTTCTTCCGTAGTCTTCCTTCTCCTCCACTCTCTCCTCCACTCCAAAGCTGCCTCATAGGACTTATAACCCATGGAGAAGATATTCAGAAGTACAGATGTGTTTATACTTCTTCTATTTAAAATGGAATTTGAAAAACAAATGAATCATTTGCTTTAATCCGTGTTTCATTAGTTCAACTGTAACAGCAGTACTTAGCACCCATGAGTTATAGAATGGTAGGGAAATAAATCTACATAGGCCCTGGGCCCTAAGACAGAGACTTTTGGTAGTCTGGAAACCTCCTGAACAAACTGAATTCCTGGGAGGTTATTCTGTTCTAATGTGCTCTCATGATGGACCTTTCGTAATAGAGAAGAAAACAAACGAGAACTGGGGATGGACTTGGTTGACGCCAAGGCTCTTCTCACAGGGTTTCCTGAGTGTCCTTTCCTGAGGTGAATTCCTCCTACCGCCAAGAGAGGAACCACCAAAGTCCCAAGAACCAGGGATGAGAAATTGCCCAGAGCCACTTCTGGAATTCTGATGGCAGAGAAGTCAAGATGGATCCCTAAGTGTGCATTTTACCAATGTTAATCAATATTGCTGCGTTCGACATCATGTAATCACTGTGATTTATGTTGGTGATAAAGGAACTAAACCTGAGGAGCTGGAGCGATGACTCAGTAGTTAAAAGCACTTGTTCTTTCAGAGGACCTGGGTTCAATTCCCAGTACCAACACAGTGATTCACAGCCACCCCTAATTCTAGTTCAAAGGGACCCAATGCCCTTTTTGGTCTCTGAGGGCACCAGGCATGCGTATGCTACACAGACATACATGCAGACAAAACATGGACAGCAGACACTTAATTTTTTTTTTACAAAAAAAATTGAAAATTAAAAAAGAAATTGGGCTGTCGAGATGGCTCAGAGGTTAAGAGCACCCGATGTTCTTCCAGAGGTCCTGAGTTCAATTCCCAGCAACCACATGTTGGTTCACAACCATCCGTTATGAGATCTGGTGCCCTCTTCTGGTGTGCAGATATACATAGACGCAGAATGTTGTATACATAATAAATAAATAAAATTCAAAAAAGAAATCACACTGAATTAAGTATTAAGAAAATTTTTAAAAAATTATGATCTGCGGTTGCTGTAAGTAATACAGAGATGAAATGATTAAGGGTAAAATGTTTTGTAAAGGATCCTGATAGAATTAGCCACTGAATTCAAGCTAAGGGATCCTGCTACTCACTTGATGTTACCTCTATCTAATATACCCACAGTCTAGTAATTTCTGTGGTTTTGATAGGTAATGCTGAAGGTGGAAGAGCTGAGAATGTAATTTGATCCATAGCCTCCAGATGTAAGAATTGAAATAATCGTACGGCAGATTTGCCCTTAAACACTGTAGCAGGAAAGATATTTGAAAGATCTCCAGGTTAGGGACAACCTAAATGTTCAACAATCAAGGATTAACCAAGCTGCCTCCCTCACTGTGTCCCGTAAACATCCAAAGCCCTCAATGAGTGCGTGTATCTTGTCACAGTGTGGTGGAGTGGTGTATCTTGTCACAGTGTGGTGGAGCCCAAGCAGAGAACAGGGAGAATTCATATGGAGGATGACGCTAAGCTGTGGAGCAGCAGCTTGTGTAGGTGATGAAGCTGGCTGGGGTGAGGGCGGCAACCAGTGTAGTTTCACAGAGAAATTGGTAGACATCTGCAGTGAGGGGGTGCAGTGGCCTGGAACTGATCATTGAGAGAGCAGGAAGTTTGGGGAGGGGGATGGGCAGCAGGAGTAGCAGATGGAGATTGCTTACACTCTATTGATCAGCAAATTCCAGATACTGGGATGCATATATCTCCTGTGAGAGAAGGGTGTCTCAACCATGAAAAGGGAAAGACCTGGAATGAGCCTTGTGGTTTTGGTAAGGATTTCAGTCACTGCTGTGTATCTATGGAGGCAAGAATGGATGGACAGATGGACAGATAGACACAGACATAAAGTACCACTTTAAAAGACAAAGAAGAACAAGGCATTTTAAAAATAGTTGATTCTAGCTATGAGCAAAAGGATACCATGTGCTAAGTAAAGCTACCAAAACATCAAGAGGCTATAGACACAAAAGCCACCTTGAATGGGCTCTTACTCACCAAATTCCAGACAATTGTGAAAGCTCAAAATAAATCGTGATCGTCAGGATCTTAATCCATTGATACACAAAACATGGGATACTGTAAGAAATGAAGAGTTTTCCCTTACAGCAGCCTGGGGTGCAGCCAGTAAACGTAAACGCAAGAGCACCGGAGGCTCACCACTTTCAATAGCCAGAGCTGTAGTTAAGAAAGCTAATAATAAACACCGACTGATTAGCCAAATCATAGCAAGGAAAAGAGTGTGCATATTTGTTCAGTCCCAAGTAGCTTTCCTGAAATCTTTATTAATAACAAAAGTGATAAAATGATTTTAAGTGAAGAAAGCTAGTGATACCTTTCACATTATCAAACCCATCCTCATGGGAGAAACTGTAAACTTGGAGGGTCTGAAGAGCAGTGAGGTGAACAAAAGTCCCTCTTGGAGTCTCTACCAACCAACACACTCCAACCTAATCATGACTCAACAAGAAACAAGACAACATGAGGAGTAGTTCACAAGAGGATCGGCCTTCAGTTTTCATAAATGAGAGAGGGAGGACTCAATGAAAAACAGGAGTTCAGACAGGAAGGATGTTAAAGAGACAGGAAGGAGCTCAAGACACAGGAAGGATGCTCAAGACACAGGAAGGACTCTCAAGAGACAGTAAGGATGCTCAAGAGAGGTAGGGTGCTCAAGAGACAGGACACATAAAACTGAGGACAGGATCTTTGTGCTCTAAAGGACTGTCTTGGGGAAACGGAGATCTGTGGACATAGTGGTAGCATAGCATTATCCTAATTTGGATGGTTGTGTGTGGTCATGCAAACAAGTATCTTTGCTTGTAGGAAATACACACTGCAATGTTTAAAATGATCAGGCATCCTACCAGCAATTTATTCTTAAATGACTGAGGAAATACAAAGCTTTTTGGATTATTCTTTCAGTTATTCTATAAATTTGAAAGTATTTCAGATCTTAAAATGCCATAAAAAAAGAATGACTGTTCTAAGTAAACTGATATACTCAATAATAAAATATAAAGGAATTTACTTAATTGTGTTTTAGGAAACAATAATGCATGGAAGATGTTCACAGGATATAGTTAATTATGAGTACTATAACTCTGAAATGGAGAGTCTAAACACACACACACACACACATACACACACACACACACATGCACACGCACAGATATGGGGATACACATGGACACAAAGATGCTGGAAGCATACAAGGGAGGCACCCAAGAAGAACCATCGTATGTCATAGGTCGTATAATGGAAAAAGATGTTGCAGAAGCAAAGGAAACGTTTTTTAAAGGAGAGGGTTGTTCAAAGGGAAGCTAAGGATTCACGAAGTCAGAGTCAGAAACTTGAAACACATTGTCTCCCGGAATATAACTACATTCAGTCTATCATCATGTCATCTCAGACCTTCACAACATCTTCTAGGTGACCAGTTCATGCCCTGAGAAGTCTCCTTGCCCCTAACTTAGCAGGAAGTCCACTGAACATTTAGTACACACGCTTACAGGATCTCTTTCCAAATGTGAAGATTTAAATGACTAATGCTCTCAAACTTTCGCAACCCCCTGAACAAAGATCTGCCTTGGACAGTGAAGGCTTTCCGGGCACACAAAGGAGATAGTTGGCATTCGGGCCATGGCGATTCCTCATGCACTGCAGGATGCTTAGCTTGCCTCAATCTTCCAACTGCTGGGAAGCAACTCGATTTGGTTCTCTGGTCTGGCTCAGTCCTCCCAGCGTTGCTGACCTTGTTAGTCCTTGAAGCCCCTCAATGGAATTCCTGCCTCAGGGATTTTGTGTTACTTTCTCTGTCTGCTCTATCTTGTTACTCCTTGAATGTGAACTGTTCCTTCCTTATTTTTTTTTCAAGATTTTGTTTGCTGACAATTTTATATATGCACATAACACATTTTCACCTTTCTTTAGATGACATTTCTGATCTGATGTTACTTGCTCAGAGAGGTTGTCCAGTCCTCCCCTTAGCCTGATTGGTATTAGAATATTATGCTGATTATTGTCTGTGACCTGCACTAAAACAGGAACTCAATGAGGGTGGGTCTTTGTCTAATTTACTGCAAAACTCAGTAAATTAGGTTTATGGAGGACACTTAAAACAGTTTAACAAATGAATTAATTAAATTTAATCTTACTCCAGGAACCCAGTGCTTTTCTGTTTACAACACATAAATAATAATTTCCCTAGATGCACTTGACAAAGGATGTTAAGTAATTTTATGGAAGCGCCTGCATTTGGGGGAAATTAGGACACTTTCATTTTTACTTCAAGCAAGTTCTTCTTCTGTAAGTGTGATGTAATGTTCTTCCTCCACAGACAGGACTCAGGCAGGAACTGGATTCTCAAAAAAGAAAAGAGAAGTGTGGACACTTCAGACCTTGCAATTGGGAGACAGAGGTGCCATATCAGAGGGCTGTTTGGGACAATTAGTAAACAAAGAGCCCTTATGCTCAGTAGGGGACAAGAATTGTAATATGACCAGAATTCTTCCCTCAACCATGTCAGTCCAGGATTTCATAAGCAAAATGATGAGATATGTTTCAGGATCTATTAGAAAGTCTTCATTGCCTTGGTCAGTATCATTACATAATAAATTTCATGGGCCTCTCATTATATAATGTGTGTTCCTTGTTGACCAAGCACTAAACCCTGTTTAAAAATTCACTCCTGTGTTACAGTGCCTACATTTGGGCAGGTGAACTATCTGACACATGGAGGAAGCAATCAGAAAGTAATATGACTTCCATAATTTGCTGTAAAGAGCCCTAGTCTTCCCTGCTAAGGCCAAAGCTACAAATTACATATTGGCTGATTCCTACTACTGATGAAAGATGCTTGTAGAAGATGAGAGTTTCATTGACCAGGAATCTTCAGAAGCCTAGTAGAGTCCAAGAGGGGAAGATGAACATGGGTTCCCAGCCCTCACCAAGAAACTACCTGCAACTGATACTTGCCGGCAAAGGAAAAGTCGTTTTCTTTGATGGCATCTCACTGGGTATGCTGACCACATTTCCACATTTCAGGGTAGACCTAATGCCTGGGAGCAGTTGGCTAACACAAAGCTAACTCACTGGTATTTTTGTAGACGTTTTGTCTCATTTTGCTTTTGGAGGGCATTTTTTGTCTTATTGGTATTTTGCATGTGTATTTTGAATTTTGTTTTTGTGCTACATTTCTTGGTTTTTATTGGTTTCTTAAAGAGAGAGAAAAAGGACATGGGTTAGGTGCATAGGGAGATGGGGAGAATCTGGGGGAAAGGAGAATGTGATCAGAATATATTGTATAATTTTTTTCTCAGTGACAAAATCTAGCAGAGGAGAATGTGGAGTTCAGCAGACAATTGGTACGAGGGGTGGTTTTGTGATGGGTAGAGAGCTAAGAACAGGGAAAGAGGAAGGCGAAGGGAACTGGTTGGGTAGAAAATAAGAACTGAGCAGAAGGTAGGTGTTGGTCTGGTCTCTGGTCCCCTCTGACTCTGGAATATGTGTCACTGACTCTACTTTCCTGGATTTCTCCAGTTCTAACACCTGATGCTTCCTATCGACAACTCTTTAACAAAGCCCTCTCCCCCCACCGCCCATCCCTGGCACGCACAAAAACCATCTTTCTTAACTAATTTTTTAGGGGTTGTATGTAGGAAAATGGTAAAAATAAGGCATACCATTAACTACCCAGATTATAAAAATACACAAACAACGATCCCGGTGTATATGTTACATGTGAGTGCTACAGGATGTATATGGAGGTCAAAGGGCAACCTTGAGTTGCCCTTCCACCTTAGAGACATACACTAGCCTAGCTGAACTTGAGACTTCCAGAGGCTCCCCTGCCTCTGCCTCCCATCTTCTCACGGGGAATAAGGCCATATGTGTTACTGAGTCTTGCTTTTACATGGCCTGTGGTGATCTTAGCACAGGTCCTCGGCTTGTGTGGCTAGTAGATTACCCACTGAGTCATAGCCCAGACATCCTTCCTCTTTTATTGGCACAGCATCTTGCTACATACCCTTGCTAGCCTCCAATTTAACTTCCCCGGTGTTGGAATTACCAGATCACACCATCACACCCAGTGTGTTACATATAAGGAAGCCTTCTTTGGCATCAGAATGGAAAAAGAAATATCACTCCAGGGATAGGAAGTCTCATCTGTTTTAATGTGGTTGGGAATTGTATAACTGCAAGTGGCTGTTTTTCAGGAGTAGAACTGGTTTTTGGTGTTTTATTTAGGCATTGCCATTTTTATCATCTGCAAAAATTGAGATTTCTCCTACTGGAGGTATTCAGCCTGCTAGGAAGAGACAGCGAGTAGAACTGTGAGGATGGGGAACGGATGGGGAATGGGAGGAACCTACAGATTATGGCTCAACAATAAGTGATTCTATAACCCTCCATACCAAAGGCGGCTCATGTTGCAAAGAAGTATGGATACTTTCTCTCTGTGGGTGCCAGTCAGCGAAGAATGAAGGCTAGGAAAATAGCACCCCAAGTTTTGTTTTGTTTTGTGGTATTTCAAGACAGGGTTTCTCTATGTAGTCCCAGCTTTCCTGGAACTCACTCTGAAGAGCAGACTGGCCTTGAACTCAGAATCTGCCTGCCTCTGCCTTCTGAGTGCTGGGAATAAAGGCGATGCACCACTACGCCCAGCTGTACCCCAAGTTTATGGTGAAGCTGGAGGAGGCTTTCCCCCCCATGGATGGTTGAAATGCAAAGGAAATTGTTTTTGTAAGTCTTAAGCAGCTTGTCAAAGAATGACTGCTTAGTCTCCTCAGTGAGCACCTCTCTCATCTACTCCACCTTGAACCTGCTTGGCTATTTAAAGAGAGACATTCCAGTGACATTTTCCAAATTTTTAAATCCTATCACTAAGGCATCTCTGTGTGTGTGTGTGGGTGTGGGTGGGTTGTGTGTGTGTGTGTGTGTGTGTGTGTGTGTGTGTGTGTGTGTTCAACTAGTGATGGAACCCAGGACCTCCCAACACCAGGCAAGTACTGACACACTGAGCTACCCTCAGCTAAAGCATCTATGGGTTGTTCTTTTATTTGTTTTGTTTTGTCTTTAATTTTCCTTGGACCAGATGAACTAAATTATAGCCTTCAAATGCTATATTACTTTCCAAGTTTTATACACCCTCTAGAATACACTGTATTGTTGTTTGTTTGATGGCTTTTCAAGACAGGGCAGGATGCTACAAGACAGCTCTGGCTGACAAGGAACCCTCTATTTAGCCCAGGTTTGAACTCATAGCAACTCTCAAGTTCAGAGTTCCAAGAGCTGGGATTATGAGCATATGCCACTGGGTTCTGTCCAAGCTGGAACGTTCATCTGAGCTCATGAGCTTTAATTCTTGCCATGTGTGATGGCATTCAGTGATAAGCATGATGGATACTCACAGAAGGCGCAGTGGGCACGAGGTCATTTTCTGTTCTTCCTGTCTGCATTGCTGTGTGGACCCGGACTGATTCATAGATGGAAGGCTCTTCTACTTTTCTTGGATAGGGATGTTTCAAAACAATCAGAGTCCCTGAATGAAAACAGAAATATACATGCATGTATACATATAATTCAATATTACTGGCTAGATTGTAAAGTCTATTTATCCATTGATGATTGATTGATTGGTATTGATTGATTGCGGTGTGTGTGAGTCATATGTGGAGGTCAGAGGACAACTCTTTGAGTCAGTTTCTTTCTTCCACCATGGGACTCCAGAGGTAAAATCCAGGTCACCAGGCTTGTGAAGCAAGCACTCTTCCCAGCTGAACCTTCTCACTCCCCCGCCTTGTTTTACTCATCTTCTCAGCATTCCAAGAGTATCGACTTCACACAAGGCACATCATTTGGATGCAGAGATAGAGACAGGATTTGGATGAGTAATCAATATAGTCATTTAAATGAACAGGGTGATGAGATCCATAGAGTAATGTGGACAAAGTGGGGTGTTCACAAAGGCTTTCACAAGAAGCTTGGCGATTGACCTAGACTGAAGCAATAACCAGAAAATTTGCAAGTGGACTTTAACAGAGCCATGAAGATAGAGCAGAAAGCACAGGGCACAGGGAAGGTCTTTGCCACTGCCCTTTCTGCACAGCAGCATTGAAACAAATGTAACATATCAGTGGGACTCAAAACCATGGCCTCCCAGCCCTCTCCCTGTGTTCTCCTAGCTCCATTAGGAAGCCTGGGACTTGGGTGAGTATGGCCTGGGCAGACCAGACGAAAGCTTGTTTGTAATTGCTTCCACTTCCATCTAGAAGAGGGGGCTAGGCAGAAAGGAGGGTCAGCCCAGACAAGTAGGCCCTGGGAACATCATTCAGAGACTGAGAGGACTTCTGAGTCAGCATCCTGACATTTCCCATCCCATGAACTTCCCTTCCTGATCAGTCAACCAGAAACTAGAAACTTTGACTACAAAGAAGGCCGAAGTCTTTTTCCTTTTCTCTATTGCAATGGCTTCTTGCTAATTTTCTGGGGGTGGGGGGTGGGATTGTTAAAGATCACACCCAGGGTCTTGGATGAGTTAGGCGAGAGCTCTCTGCCACTGGGTTCTACCCCCAGCCTCCTTTTTGATTTTTATTTTAAGAGGTCTTTTCTATAGCAGCTCCATTTGGGACTGTACAAGACCCGAAGGAAATAAGTAATTCAGTCCTTAGGTCATTTGCTCTGCTCTGTGCCAAATACTTGTGTTGGCCATGGGGCCACCACAGCAGACATGGGATGCCTATTCTTAATATTATAGTCAAGATCCAGGGACCAGAAACACAAGGTCAATGTGTTTCTGGCGTAAGATGCATTGTGAACAAATGGATGAAGATGGGCAGAAAGAAGCTAGAAGCTGGGGAGGAGTGACAGTCTCCATCGGTGGCCACCTTTGAAAAGATGAATTGAAAAAGCTATAGGAAGAATAGACACAAATTAGGGCAAAAGAGGGACAAATAATGATAGAAAATACCTCCTTGGTGGTGCAAAAGCCTAGAATGTTAATAACTGTGCCCTCCAAAACACTGTACAGCGCTTATGTGACTTACACATGACTTATACAGTGCTTATGCGTGACTGACTGTCAAGTCAGATACCCTGGCTGCCACAAAGTCAGGAGGGTTGGGTGTTAGCAAAGACAAAAGAAGGGGGTCTCTGATGCTGCCTTAGAGAAGAACAGGACCGAGCCCCTCTGTGTATCCATTCACGTCAGTAGCACGGGGCTCATAGTGACAAATGGCTGGGCAGTTATCAGACAGCACAGCCCTGCTCTTGCACGTTGTTGGTGCTTTTTCTTTTCTTCTGTTTTTTTAATCACTGTGACCCTTTCTGAGAATCCATCAGTCATATGTGGGGCAGGAGTCAGAACGAAAGCATGACATCTAAGTCAAGAGCAGCCTTTGAGCAGGCTCGGGAGCTACGTGAACACTGCTCACATCTGTAGACATTGGGTGAGTGGTGGTGGGGGCTTTGTGAACACCACTCAGTCTGTAGACACTGGGTGAGGGGGGCTATGTGGACACTGCTCACACCTGTAGATGCTGGCTGGGTGAGCTTAAGGGGGCTACATGAATACTGTTCACATTTGTAGACACTGGTTGAGGTCAGGGCTACACTGCTCAGTCTGTAGATGCTGGGTGAACTCAGGGCTAGTGTCCTATGCCCAAGAAACACATCTACCAATATGCCAGGCAGCCACTCGGGCACTGTGGAAAGATCCCTGGACTCACCAGTCAAGGCCAGGTAGGACTGCCCCTCCCTTGTACCACTGTACCGAGCTTGGCGCTTCTCTGCTTTTGTTCTTCCTCTAACTAGTGCAAATAGCCAAACTTTCTTCACAGGCCTGAGCTGTGCACTAGATAAAGGGTGTTTGTAGAAAGATTACAAAGATTACAAAACAAATATTATTCTTTGATAAAGAACATTTAAAAGTCCTTAAATGAAACACTAATGACTAAATTTTTAAGAACTTTTTTTTAAAGGTTTTATTTGTGTGTGTGTGTGTGTGTGTGTGTGTGTGTGTGTGTGTGGTGTGTGTGTGTGTGTGTGTGTGTGTGTGTGTGTGTGTGTGTATTTGTGTGCATGTGCACGCTGGTGTTTGCAGAGGTCAGAGTGTGTCAGACGTCCTGGAGTTGAAGTTACAGACATCTCAGCTCCCTGATTTGAGTGCTTGGAATCAAACTCTGGTCCATGGCAAGGAGAGCAAGCTGGGCCCTCTCTCTAGCCCCACATTGTAAGTCCCCCTCCGTGTCCATGTATGTGCAAGCTCGTGTGTGTGTGTGTGTGTGGGGTGTGTGTGTGCGTGTGTGTGTGTGTGTGTGGGGTGTGTGTGTGCGTGTGTGTGTGTGTGTGTGGGGTGTGTGTGTGCGTGTGTGTGTGTGTGTGTGTGTGTGTGTGTGTGTGTGTGTGTACTAATTGGATTCATTTCACTTGGCTCCTCTTCTGGAGGAAGGCTCAACAACTACAGCAGAAGCTGACTGCTGTTTCCTGCTCCACAAACATGGCCCGAAGTCCATTTTGGAGAAGAGTAGAGCTAGGCCCCTGCAGACATGTCCATCACTGACAGCCCCAGACTGGCTGTGACTACTGAGCTGGTTCCCTTTGCTCTCCTGTTCAGCTTGTCCTTGCCTTCTGGGTGCATGCACCAAAGCATCCCTCCTCTTCCTGCACTCCAGTGTTTTAAAACTTAGCCAGCTAGAGATGCACAACTCATGATTTCCACTCACAGCCCAAGACAGGGTCTTCACTCTATGGGAAAGATGCTCTAGGTTGGTGAATCAAAGGAAGCACAGGACTTGGTTAGGAGAGTCCGTTTAAAGAGCATTGGGAGGAGGTTGGGTGTGGAGCTGGGGTTGGGGGTGTGGCAGAGGAGGGAGAGGGAAGCAGATCAGAAACTGCCTGCCCTGGCCACTGGGTTCCAAGTTTCACTTCAGTTTCTGAACTTCATGAAGGTTGTTTCCTGCCACAGACATGAAGCGTGGCTTCAGTCATGTTCAGCAGAGATACAGCTCTCAGATGATCAGATCTGAACCAGCATAGGCATTCTACACGGACGGACTGATGGATACCAGCTTACGTGGCAGTTTATGTGACATCTATAACTCCATACCCAACACCATGATTGTGCTAAGGGACTCCTCTAGATGAAACTCTAGATGTACTCTAGACAAAACTCAGAAAAAGACAGAAATGGCCTCGGGCCTCGGGTGTTGTTTTGCAAACAGAATGTAGTTTGGCACACACTTAGAAAACTTTTATTTTCCTATTTATTTTATGCACTAAAGTTAGCTGAAACATAAAGTGTTTGAGAACAAGAATGGTTTTTGAGGGGCCTGGAGCAATGACTCAGGGGTTAAGAGCACTTGTTGTTCTTGCAGAGGACCTGGGTTCAGTTCCCAGAACATACATGGTGGCTCACAACCATCTGTAACTCTAGTTCCAGGGGATTGATCTCTGTGGGCATCAGGCACACTTGTGGTATAGGCACATGTGAAGACAAAAAAAAAAAAAAAACCCTCATATACAGAAAATAAATGATACTTAACTCACCTCTCTATTTTAACAGTGGCTAGGGAGGGAAAGGGACCTGGGATTGACATGTAAAATAATTTTCTTTCTATAAAAAAAAAAAACAGTGGCTAACAGTGTCCATCTGGTGGATGACACTCAATCCATGCTTACTAAGTTAAATATGAGATAGTAGTCATCCATGTTTTGTTTCTACTGCTCTGGGGTTCAGAAAATATCATTGCAATATGCTTTTCTGTCCTTGCCAGTGGGGTGTGGCTTTTTAGGGGTGGGAGTCTTAAATGAATAGTCCAGTTCTTCCGGTCTGCCTTGGTGCTTCTTGACATACAGTAGCCAACATTCATTTACAGCCATAGCAGCTTTGCTGTCCTATGTTTAGCCTCCCAGGGAGAGATGCACTAAGAAAAGGGAAGTAGACTAGAGAGCTAGAGAAGGAGGTGCTATTCAAATGTCTAAGCCAAGTCAGCTCACTGATTTTGGAGTGCTCCCCTGATTCTACCACACATATGAGTGTACCAGGGCTTAAAACTGAGGAAACATTACAAATATTTGATGGCCACATCTGTCATTAATTGCTTCATGCTATACCAAAGAGCTCACAGCTCCTGTCTTGAGTCTGACAGAATTAATAACCACCATGGCCTTTCGTAAATGAGTCATAATAGTGAACACCTTTAATGTGAAAATTAAAAGACCTAGAGACTGATATCAGGGTTCAAGCTTCAAGCTGAAGATCCGAGAAGCAAGGCAAGCAAGCTGCTAGCCTTTACCTCTAGCTCAGGCTGAAAGTGCTGATCCTGTCTCCACGAGTTCTCACCAAGCTTCAGACCACTGCCACTTCTCAACGTGGATGAAGAACGAATGCCTTCCTATCCTCAATGTGGCTGGAGAAAGAATGCCAGCCCTGAGACCCTGTTCCTGTCTTAAATACCTCTCATGAGTCCGGGGATTAAAGGTGTCTGACCTTTGTGTGAGCTGTTTCTCTTTAGGACTGAATCAATTTTGTGTAGTCAGTGT